TTTTCTGAGTATATGTTGTAAGAAAGCCAATAACTAAGCGTCATACTAAATTATAAACAATGGCAGTTTTTTGTTTACAGAATTTTCTGAGAAATTAGGCAAAATAAAAAAAAAAACATATCAGCTGTTAGAACTGAAATATAATTAAGTTTTATTAGCATTTGGTTAACTTAGCAGAAAAGTGTTGTAGTGAAATGACACCGGACAAAAATGCCAACGTCTTGATCTATGACTTGTAAATTTACATATAAAGCTTTGGGTGTGAGCTGATTTTATTTTTACATATAATATAGAAAATATTTCACAGTCTAACTCCTGTGTGATATCTTAATCATTTGAGAAGCTAAAACATTGTGATAATAAATTTTTTTATTATCACAATGCATTTCCAGAAATGCTTTTTCATTTTCAAATTGAATTTTGGTATGTATTTGCTGGGGTACATTTTGAAAAATAAATCTCAAATGTCTTTTTCATTTTAATTAAAAGAAAAGAATGAGCAGTGTTAAAGAAGAAAATGAAAATGCAAACAGATTATTGATTACTAATTTCATTTATGAGTCAAACAATGCAGCCACATTCTTAAAATGAAAAAGCATTTCTGGAAATGCTTTTTCATTTTAAATATGGTAACGATTTGCTTCCATTAAGAACTGCATACTCCTTGGATGTAAAATTGTTTTCATCATGGCTTTGTCAAGCTGCTTCCTACCTTTGTGAAGCAGGAAAAAGACAAATACAAAGTGAATCCAGTAGAACTTTTTATTGCCTACTTTGAATGGGTGAAAATAGTTGAATAAACTTTTGGCAAAACTGTCAAACCACAACAGTGGGTGTTCATTTAAAGGCTTCTCTAGATCTACTGCAAGACAGACTGCTACAGAAGATCCTCCCTGCTTTCACATTTACAACATGTACAATAATTCAATCACTATGAGTTTCTACAACAGTTATTTCCCTTTGGGATCAATAAAGTATTTTCTAATTGAATTCTAATTAAATTTTTTGGATGTGGTTTCTATTGAAGTTGGGGAATGAGAACCAAAAACAGATTTTCCATATCTTGAGTTCTGCCTGAGATTTTTTTCTTTCCAGTAATCAAATACTAGCAGTTTCAAGTTACCCATCGGTTTAATAAGTGGAGGATGCCCGTTTGGGATTTAAGCGCTGTGCAGAGCCCCAAATTCAGATTTATAGAAGCTACTGCTTCATCCTTGGGTTATTTCTTCTCCTATACAGCCAAGCGGATCATTATTCACTCATATGAAGCCATTTTTTTTCAGTGTCCTGTCTGGCAATGTTGCAATAAGAATAATTATCTTGATTTTAAAAAAGATCCCAGCAGATTTTGCTTTTACAAGTGGAGCAGTACGGCTATTGCCATAGTGTTCCACTTTATTTATGCATATATATATATATAGCTTTATTTTAGTTCATGCATGGAGAATTACAGATTATATGGACACTGTAATGTAAGTAGAACAGAAAAGGAAAAACAGGAAAAAGGAGAAAAGAGGAAAGAGGAGGTAAAAGGGAGACAAAATGTCTTGATATGAAGCACATTTCAGTAAAATTCAGGCACATTTCAGATGTTTAAAACCAGAGTTAAACTCTTCTATTTTTCTCCATCTTAGATTCATTATTTCTTTTATTTAATACGTGGAGGAAGTTTAAAACCTTCCAAAGGATTTTCAAAATGTTTCACTGCAGCTGCAGAGATTATTAGAGCTAAACATTGTAGATCTCTCTGAGAGCTTTTCATATTTGTAGATATTAATCACCATGTTCCCAGATTTCCTTTTTCCCCAAATAATGTGTAATCATAAACCTTCAGCTTAATGTGCTTTAAAAGCTCTTCCACTTGAGTGTTTTTTAGTAGAGAGTGAGCTCCTACCTGCTCAGAATGCCTCTGTTAAATGTGTCCCCACCCTTGGTTCTGTTACCTTGGTTATCTATGTTTTATTAGATTAGGGATGATGGTGGCATCTTTTACCGCCTCTGGATGGATAAATGGGCTGTATCTTATCTTATCAGGCCTATCAGGGCTGTTGCAGTTCTTCCTTCAAGGCTGAACAGGGATGGTAGGTCGCTGTGCTGGCTGACAGTAGACAAGGTGGTAAATTTAATAATGAGTTTAAAAGGATGCAATAAAAAAAAATGCACATTTAGGACAAATTAATATATTTAAAAATGCTTTATTTGTCCAAAACATTGTAATGACTCGTTAAGGATGCAATAATGGTTACATGGAGGTTTTAAATAAGTTGTTGTATTTACTAAAGGTATTACTTACAGAAAGATGATGAGTAGTTGGAGGAAAACAGGCCTGGCTCAGGCTTCCATGTGTTTGAAGACTGGAGGTGTGAAGAAACCATCCATCACGTCCAACTTCTGCTCTGACTGACTTGAGTTGATTGTGAATTTTATCTGACCCATACTATGTTAAAGTCATACATGCAGACCTAAATACCATCCAGCTATTGACTTGAGGTGAAGTGGAATATATTGAAGGTTGTCCTCATTATTGGATTTTGATGCTTTCAACTGACCATCAAACATTAAAACAGATTTATTTTTACCTGAGGGAAACAATGTGGGTCATTTGATGAAGACTGAACTTTTCACCCACCTGGATGAAAAGCTGTTTTTTTTTGTAATGATTATAGATGGCTATCATAAAAAAAAAACTATGACCTCGACCATGAAGAGCAGTGAAATGTTTTGGCAGTGAAATTCCAGAAGCTTGTTGATGACTATATAAAGTGTATAGTCAAGGTGCAACACACTAGCAATTAACAAAATAAGAGCGGTGAAACCAGCACTACAGCAAGAAGGTTTTAGGTGTGGAAAAACCTGGATAAAGTCTTTCCTGCATGAAATTTCCTTGTGCATTTTTGTGTTTTTTCCGGTTAATCCAATTTCCTCCCACAGTGCAAATTGCCCTCTGGTTATAGGAGTTTATGTGTATGGTTGTATGTTTATTTTGTCCAGAGTTTACCCTGCCACTGAATGATGGATGATGGATGGGCTGATGAATGGATGGATGGACAGATGATGTATGGATGGATGAATTAATAATTGATGGAAAGATGGATGGATGGATGGATGGATGGATGGATGGATGGATGGATGGATGGATAATGGATGGATGGATGAATGGATAAAGGGTGGACGGACGGATGGATGGATAAAGGGTGGAAGGATGAATGCATGGATGGATGGACGGATGATGGATGCATTGATGATTGATGGATGATGGATGGATGAATGGATAAA